CACCATGCCTGGGGTGTCTGCTGGAGCTCGGTGAGTTCGCCCGTTCCCGGTGGCTGTCTGCAGACCCTGGGCCTCGGGAGCCTCTGCCCACAGGGCCACCCCGAAGCCAGACTGGTCTCTCCCGCCCAGGCCCACATGCACTGTTTAAATGATGCCTGTAGCTGAGAGGGGGTTAAGCTCCTGTTCTTGTTTTACAGTGCAAAGTATGTCAACTTGGCATGGTTGACAGGCTGTCTGTGTCACCACTCTGGTTCCCTTAATTGCTTTCCCTGCATGTGAGCATCTGTGTGTGTGAGTGCGCGTGAGTTCATGTGTGCATGGTCCCTGATCAAGGCCTGCTGGCTTTGGCAGAAAAGGCCCTGATTACAGAAGGTGGAGTCAAGCAGCCCTGTGGAACATCTGACCAGACCCCAACCTCCCAGGGCCCTGTGCGTGGGGAAGGGAAACCCAGCATCAGGACACTGGACCCTGGTCCCCTCCTTCCCGCCGTAACAGTAAGAACAGAGGCCACAGTGCCAAACGGCTCTTTCCAGGGCAACCGCAGTCTCTGCCTGAAGGTGACTCCCATGAGGACCCTGAGACAGCCCTTCCCTCTGGTAGGCGTGCCTTCCGCCCCGTGTAGCCCGTGGGCCGTGCTCCCTGCTGATTCCTGAACCCAGACCAACCGGAGAAACTCGCGCTAATGCAGACCAGCAAGTGAGGAATTGAAAGCAGATGGCAGCCAGGGCTCTGGGTCGTCACCCAAGCTGTCCGGTGCTCACATGAGTCACAGGTGGGTCAGCCCCATGGTCACAGGGAGCCGGCCCGGAGCAGTGGGAAACGGGACGGAGGAGGCCTCAGGGAGCAGAGGCTCCAAGCGCCCGGGGTACAGGAAGCATCCCCAGCACAGAGCACACTGAGAAAAGCTCGGGTGAGCGACAGCCAGCACCCCTGGTGCCCTGGAGCAGGACGGGCGAGTGAGTTCACCCCAGCCGTGGACAGAGCCAGGTCCTCCCTCTTGACAAGTGTGCCCTAGAAGTGTGAGACACAAACCAAAGGCAGGGCTGGTGCTCCTGGGGCTCACTGCCCCCACCGGGTGGAGCTGGAGCGTCCCTGCCTTCTCTCAACAACCACACCGGCTTGGAAGAACCTCAAAGCAGGGAGCTATGGCCTTTCCATGCCCCTGAAATGAGCACCGAAGGTCTCGGTCCTAAAAGTGGACTGCCTCAGCCTACCCCGGGAGGTCCCGGCAGAGGGCATTCCCTGGGGTGGGGACTTTCTGCAGACCCGGGGCTGAGCATAGCACCAGTGCTTAGGACCCGTCTGCCTCCGCGGTGGGAGTTCTGACCAGAAAATCCGGAGGGGATGAAAGGGTGAACAGACACACGGGACCGGCGGGTCCTCTCCTGCCACCAGCCGGTGCCCCAGGCCCGTGGGCTGGCTGTGCCTGACCAAGTAAGTCCGCTGACAGGAGGAGCCGGCCTGTCTCCATTTCTTCAGAGTCTCCGCTTTCCCCATTGCCTCCCGCAGGGCCAGCAAACTACAGCCTGTGGCCCAAATACAGCCATCACCTGCTCTCCTGAATAAAGTCTGTTGGCATGCAGCCACGCACATGAACACAGCACTTTCAGAGCCACCCTGGCAGCAGCAAGGAATGGGGACGGAGACCTAACGGCCCCCAGGGCCAGCAAGAACACTGGGCCCCACGACTTGGCTCTGCTTGGAAGCCCCATCTGCAAACCCTGCCACCAGGCAACCCCCGGCAGCACAGGGTGAGCAAGGTCGGCAGCTCCTCTCCCTCCAGCCTGCACCCTTCCCCCACCAGCTTCTCCCCCCTGTTCCTCCTCCTGCGGCTCAGCACGGACTTGTCTCTGGTGGGGATTTTCCCAGGGAATCTATGCTCGCTGGCTTCCAAGCCCAGCTCAGAAGGCCCGTGGAGGACGTCCCACTGAGGACTGTGGACTGAGCTCCCAAGGACTAGAGAGAGCTGTGGCCTCTGCTGCTCCCCTCAGCCCTGCACGCCCCAGGGCCCAGTCCCCACCCGCTGCCTCAGAGCAGAGGGTCCCATGCTGTGAGCACAATGGGCTTTGGGGCACAGGGAGGCCAGGAGGCCCTGTATCACTATAACCAGCAGAGGGGGACGGCCAAGGCCAAGGAGCAGGGACACCTTCCAGGCTGCTTGGGCATGGTGAAGACATCAGGGCTCCACAAGCAAGACCAGCCTGGAAGAGGCCAGCAGGAAAGGTCCTGTCAGACCGGAGACAGAGTTGGTTGGAGTAGGGAGCAGCCACAGCCTAACTTAGAGCTGCAGGCCTGCAGCCCGGAGCAGGGTGATGTGTCCTTCCTGCAGCCCAGAGAGCCAGAGCAGCAGCTAAGGCCTGGAGCCACGCTCCAGTTCTGGACAGAGTCCGGTGCCAACTGGGCCCGAGACGGCCACTTCCGCTGCCAGTACCAGGACTGCTCTCCATACCAGGGCCCGTGTGGCAGCTGGGGGTAAATGACTCACCGGTGCTGGGACACGTCCTGATACCTAACATGTTCTTGTGTGGCAGAAGCAAGGCTCAGGCTGCTTCTCAGCAAACCAGTCAGCCAAGTCCAGGGCATCTGAGCACAGCTGAGGGCTCTTCTGTCCTGGGGCAGCACCATCTCCCTGCGTTCCTGCGACCCAGCGGGGTGCTGCAGCCTCCATGTGGGCCCCATCTCTGCCACAGCAGGAAGACACAGCACAGGGGGTTGGCACCGAGGCTCCTCCTCCAAGGAGGCCCGGCCCTCAGGGAGCTTTGCCAGCGCTCAGTGTCCAGCCCTCCTCCCACCCACTGGGTCCACACAGGTCTCACATGCACTCAACTCTGGACCAGCAGGTCCAGCTCCAGCTCGGACGGACGCCTGGGTCTCAGGGTCCTGCGTGCTGTCCCTTTGCCATGTCCTGGTGCGTGAGGCTCTGACTCAACACTGCAAGTCCCTGAACAGCAGGGCCCTGAGGTAGGGTCCACCTAAATCTGCACCTCTCCCCATGCCCTGGGTGTGGCCCGGCCTCCACCCACTCTCCAGCGGCTCCCCCATACCCACTCCATCCACAGGGCACTGCCCGTGCCCTTCTGCTCACTGGCACCATCTCAGGAGGGGTCTCCTACCCCAAGGACCGTCACCCTCATCACAGCCGAGTGCCTGATTTCCAGACTCCATCGTTGTTAATCAGCCACTGTCCCTCTTCTCCAGAAGGGTAGGGTAATGAGTACACCACGTCTGTCCACACGAGGCAGGGCACTCTGAGTAACAAACACCCCAAGTCAGGGCGGAGGAGCACAAGGCCTCCTTTCTCCCACACCTGCTCCTGGGGCACCACCGTCCTCACACTGAGAACCAGGCTGATGACCAGGGTGCAGGTGACCTGACAGGTGGGAAAGGAGACCTGGCCGAACAGAAGTGGCCGGCCCACACCCTGCCGTTCCCAGGCCAGCACCCCTTCCGGCAGATGGGCCACGTCGATTCTGAGATAAAAACCTAATGCAGAAGAGTAAAATTTCACTCAACCTTGAACAGGTGATGCCATTTCCGAAAAATAAAAACTTCACATAGAAAAGCAGAACTGAGCTCAACCCGCCCAGGGGAGCAACCCCACCCTGTCCCTCCGGTCCACTCCCCTCGCCCACTCCACGCCCCTGTCCACTTCCCCCACCTGCCCCATCTCTTCATCCTCCCTGTCCCTCCGGTCCATCCCCTCACATGCCCCCTTCCATTCTGTCCACTCTCCTTGCCCACCTCGTCCCCCCACCCATGTCTACTGAGCCCTGAACAACCCTGCCTGGGCAGCTCCTGGCTTTGTGACTCTGGAGGCAATAACACTTCACTTGAGATTTTCTTCTTATCATGCTGGTTTTGCTAGGGGTCTTTTGGGACCCAAGTCCGGGCCAAGCCATGTCCAGTGGCATGGGGAGGTGTCACCCTGCTCCCAGAGGGGAAGTGGAGCCTGGCGTGGCATAACCTTCCACAGAGGCTGGAAACTCCAATCTCTACTCACTGGGTCTAACCCGCACCATGTGATTCGATGCTGGATTCGTGTTTGCTGGTGGACAGAGCTGGGTGACCCCGAGGCCCTGTTAGCCCCAGCTCTGTCCACAGGTCAGTTCAGGAGCCAGGAAGGTGTGGTCGGACCTGCCTGGTCCAGCCCGCACAGCTCCAGTGGACCCCGGGTCACAGAGTCCCAAGTGCTGTCCCAGATGCTGTTTCACATCCATGGTGTCCCTCAGGGTCACAGTCACCCCACTCAGAATAGGGGCAGAGCCACCAGGAGTCACTTGCAGGGGCCCCTGGACATCTCAAATCACACCACGGAGCTGAGGGCAACAGCTGAGGCCCTGCGCCAACCTGGGTGAGGCTGTGTCCCCACTCAGCCACCCAAGCGGCTAGCTCCAGGTGCCTGCAGCCCCGTGTCCCTGTGCACCCCTGGGTGGGCCTGCTGCAGGTCACCCCACACACACTCCTGAGGCCAGGCTGGGTCACCTGCTCTGTGGGAAGCTCCTTCTCAGCACCCATCTCCCTCCGGAATGCTGCCAGATGACTCTGAACTGGCAGCCCTGCAGACGGACAGAAGCCTGTCCTGGAGGCTCCAGCTCTGACAGCCAGCCGACCAGGATTCCCCAGGATTCCTTGCTAGTTCCTCCTGCCATCTCCCTCCCCTGTAGTAAAGATGTCGAACCTCCCCACCCAGGGAGGTCATCACAGACTGGACTGTGCCTCTGTCCCCCTCCTGCAAACCAGACCACCCAGTCTCCAGGGTAGTCTCTGCGGGATCTGACTTGGGGAATGGGCCGCCCTGGCATCTCCTATTCTGGATCATCTGGGATTTCTAGCAGCATCAAGAGGCCACGCAGCACAGGTACTCTGCTCATCGGGCCATGGCTCCCCCTGGTGGCTGACAAGCCCAAGTGCAGCCATGTGCGCTCAGAGGAGGCTCTGAAATAATTTAGCAGCAGTGGAGTGATTTAAATTGTTTTAATTAATCACAGATTGAGCAGTAAATGAACCACCAAGTGGAGGGACTGCGGGAGCGAGGGAAGGGAAGGCAAAGGCTCTGGGTCCCAGGTGGAGGCCTGCAGGCAGCAGGGGTGCAGGGCAGTACAGGAGCTTGGGGGCTGCAGAGGGGTGAGGCTCCACTCTCCCTCCACAGCAGGCCTGGCCGCCACCCTAGGCAGGAAACACGCAGTTTGGGGGTCACAGCCTGAGAACAGAGGACCACCTTCTCCAGGGTCAGCTAAAGAGAAAACAAAAGCCAGGCGCAGTGGCTCACTCCTGTAAACCCAGCATCTGGACGGCTGAGGCCCGAGGGTCACTCCAAGTTCAAGGCCAGCCTGGGCTACACAGGGAGACCCTGTCTCAAAAAAGTGAGAGAGAGAGAGAGAGGGCAGGGGAGAGGGAGAGGGAGAGGGACTGGGGGAAGAGAGAGAGAGAGAGAGAGAGAGACTGGCAGGGAAAGAGCTGGACCTGTGCTGAGCGCATGACCACCCTCCTATACCTCAGAAACTGCCAGACACGGAGCATCAGGCTTGGCCCAGTGGTGTCAGGGGCTCCTGAGACCTCACAGAGGACAGCAGGGGTCACACCGAGCGGCTGCGCAAGAAGCTTGGGGTCTTTGACTCTTCCCGGAGCTGGGCCTGGCGGTTGTGAGTTAATTCCACATGACCCACACTCTGCTGCCAGAGGCGCCTGTGCCCCACAGCTGCCCTCACGGCTGCTCACACCCTTAAACCTCTGGGAAAATCAGGGCACTATTCTATGGTGCGCGAACAGTATGGAATTTATTTATTTATTTTTAGTATGAAATTTAAACTCCACAAATGAGCTTCCATGGAACTCAGCCAGCCCGGAGGACACAGCTGCTTGAGGCCCTGAGGCAGCATCAGGAGCCCAGCTGGGACGCAGCCCGCAGCCAGGGAGGCGCAGACTCCCCACCCAGCGTGGGTGCAGGGCGCTTGCTGGCCCCATCCAGGCCTGGCTGTGGGGACAGGTAGCCTCTCACACCCTAAGCAGGAGAGGCATCTCTGACAGAACTACCTGAAACAGTCCCTGCAGCTTGCAGCGTGGGGTCGTGTAGTCCCTGTCCTCCGTCTGGTGCACACAGGTCTGCAGCCTGTAACTCCCTGGCAGGGACAGGAGGCGTGCTCACAAGGAGAGGGCGAGGCAGTCCGACGTCCCTGCCCAGGACCAGCTCCTCCAGAAGCTGCCTGTCTCAGATCTCTCTGCTCCCTCTTCATTCACAGGGCCACTGTGCTGGCAGACAGCACTGTGGTCCTGGGACCTTCCCCGTGGCCAACACCTGCCCAGAGAACTGGTCCCAGCGTCCTGACCCAGGTGGCTCCATCCTGGCTGCCACCTGCCAGTGACAAGGCTGAGAAATGGGCCAAAGCAGGGATGTCCAACGTGGAGGATAAGCGACAGGAGCAAGATGCTTCTCAGCATGGAAACAGCTGTCACCCGAACAGAGCCACACATGTTCTGTCCCCAGGGAGCTGGGGGGGTCCTTATAAAGAACAGCAGGAGGCGGAAGAGGATGGGGACAGGAGCAGGAGCAGGCACACCAGGAGGTGGCCGGCAGTGCCAGCTACGTCCTCTTGGCAGGGCAGGGTCTGGGACGGCACTGTCCTGGAGGATGAGGGCCCAGGCTGCTGTCTGGGGAGAGAGCGACGGCTCCTCCCCTCCTCTGCTGCCATGGAGAACCCAGCCCTCCCGACCCTCGTCCTGCAGTGCTCCTCATCCAGGCCCTTGATGGGTGCCAGGCACAGTCTGGTTCTTCCAGGCCTCCAGATCTGTGAGAAACAAAACCCAGTCCCTCAAGAGTCCTGTGCGCTCAGTCAGCTCCAGGAGGAGAAAGGAGCAGCAAGGTCCAGGAGGAGAAGCAGGCCATGCGTGCCCTCTCCTGGCCAGGCCAGAGACTGCACCAGCCCCTCTGCCACCTTGGGCTCTGGTGAGGCTAAACCAGCATCCAGCCGGCTCTGTGCCTGAGAGTTCCCTGCCACCCCAGGAGAGGCCCCCACCCACACCTCTGCACTCATAAGGCGGCCGTCCCTGCCCAGATGCCACACCCTCCTCCTAGCGGCTCATCCTCAAGGCAGTCTGTGGCCCACTTCAGAATCTCCTTTCCTGGTGGCCAGAGGAGGAGCTGACATTGCCAGGGCCATCAGCTGGGCCTCACACCACAGACCTGAACCCCAGAATGGCGTCCACCCCATAGAAGGAAAGTGGTAGAGGGCAACCTCTCCGTGTCACCCCTGCAATGACCCCAGGTGAGTGGGACGTGATTGTCCCTGGGCTTTGGGGACGCTGGGCTGGGCCACCCTGGCGGCCTCTGGGGTCTCACTGACACCAGAATCGCCTGTTCAGGGCACCTGCCTTCCTGCCTGCTGGGCCTCGCGGGCCCCTCCACCCTCACTGGCACCCCACCTGCCCAGCCTGATGGTCCCAGCCTGAGAGTTGGGGGACAGGTCCTGGGGTGCTCGAGAGTGGCAGCAACCACACCCCAGCAGGGGTCATGCTACTTCCTTCCGAGAGAGTAGGCTGTTTTCCAGAACAAGAAGCAGTGGCTCTGGGAGCAGACCTGCCAGGTCCACCCTCCGCAGCCAGCCTGCTGCCCGCCAGCTCCCACCTTCCTCGCTGGGACAGGCGTCTGGGGTGACGGCCAGGGCCCTGGCTTCCCACCCTGTGCCCCAGCTTCTGTGTCTGTGAAAGGGCAGGAGACACCAGTCTTCTCCGTGGACTTCGGTAGACAGGGCCCAATCTCCCAGGGCAGTGGTGCAAAGCGGTCCACCTGCCTCCGCCCCTACCTGTCACATGGTGGCACCTGGCTTTCTCTGCTCCAAGGCCTTGATCCGGGCTGTGCCCTGGCTCTTCATGCCACAGCTCTGGCTTTGCCTACCCTGAGTGGCCACGGCAGCTGCTTCCCTCCCAGACCCTGAAATCATCCACAAACCATCGGGCCTCAGAGGCAGCCGCCACAAGCCCATCTCTGGCAGGTGCACCAGCCAGCCACAGAGCTCAGTCCCTGTGCACCGGCATGAGGGAGGGAAGGGCCTGGCCACTCTGTGCCTCGGTTTCCCTGTGACTTTGCACCGTGACTACCCAAGGCCGTGCAGAGCTGCCGTAAGAGGAACCCCTCCTCGACACGGGAAGAACCAGAGGTGGCGAGGGCTCAAATGCACTCACGAGGCTCCTGGAAGGCCTGGACCCTCAGTAACTGGAAAGAGGAAATCGGCGAGAATCAGAAGTCATGGCCTCCAAACGGAATGACTCAAATATCAAAGTGCCGAGAGAGGCCTGAGGGAAACTGGCAGAGCACCCTGCAAGGAGCACCTATGTCCCATGGTGCTGGGACCCAGCAGGAAGGGGCGCCATCCCGGCCCCCACCACTGCCCCAACAGGAAGTCCTTGGTTGGGGGAGACAGGTGCAACGTCTGTCCATCCCCGAAAAGCACACAGTGCCTGTTCTGACAGGACTCACGGCACTGGGTCCGTGTCCCACAGACAGAGACGTCAGCGACCGGGACAGGTAAGGGGCAGCAAGGGAGGAAGAAGGACAGGGCGAGGGAGGCAGGGGCACAGTGGACGGGTGCATGCGACTGCCACCAGACACAGCCAGGAAGGCAGGGGAGCAGGCAGGAGCTGGCTAAGCCCCTCTGAGTGGAGGACAAGGGAGCCCACGCCCGTCATGGAGGTCACCTGATACCCACCCCTGGGCACACCCCAGAGAGCCACCTGCATCCCAAGGGATGGTGAGGCAGACAGAAATGTTGATGGGATGCCATCCCAACTTACGGCTCACGGAGGAGGCACCACGGGTGACATCCCAGGAAATTGCAGGTTCAGAGGACCCCAGCCAGCACAGCACCTTCTGCAGGACAGCAGCGCTGATCCCTACACAGTCATAGCAACAGTCACCAGGGAGACGGAGGAGATGGCCTGGAATCAGTGGGCAGCTGAAGCCGGACTCCCTGGGGACACCCGGCCAGCACAAGGTCCACAGACTTCTCACACCACCAGGACAGCATGGTGACAGCCACAGCACAGGGCACTGCTCAGCCTGGTCAACCCCCTCCACAGAGTGGAAACTGAGGCAGACACCCTGGAACACTGTGCCCAGCTCTCCCCAGGGAGCCCAAGCACAGCTGTTCTCAGCCAGATGGGGACAGGACTCAGCTGGAAGAGGGGCTCCTCCAGGGCATAGGGCCACCCCAGCAGGAGGTCCCTGCCTGCGTCCACCAGCGCCTCACCATGGTGCCGGGCCCCCTGAGGCTCCCAACTACACAGTTGTACATCCAGTATGCATTCGTGTGTCCCCTCAGTCCTAGTGGAACCCCATTTTATTCAGTGTAGCAATGTACACAAGTCAAAGACATCACCCAGCCAGGCTTTCAGCTAATGGGGGTTCAAGAGTACGAAAGGGAAAGTCATCGGGTGGGGTTCCCTTAGAAATGCTCCTGATTTGTCTGTTTTCCCTTGCCAGTCATGCACCTGAGGATACCTGCGGAAATGGAAAGCTGTGGGAATTCCTGTAGGAGCGCCTGTTCATACACCTGGGGAAACTTGTGGGGGTGCCCATGGGATACCTGGGGAAGTGCCTGTCAGATACCTGTGGGAATAGCTGTGGGGTATCCGTGGAAACACCTGCGAGAGGGCCTATGACGTTCTCTATGAGACACCCGTGAGAACACCTGCGGAAAAACACCTGTGGCAGCGCCTCTGGGAATACCCGAGGGTGCCTGTGAGAACCTCTGGGATGCCTGTGGAGCCAGCTGTGGATCTCCTCCCACGCTAAGAAACAAGGTGGTGCTCATCAGGCTGAGCCATCTCAGCTCTAGTTTAAATGCTAGAGTACATCTTATTGTCCTCCCCGAGGACTTAGAGACACCCCGGTGCAGTGCCCATGAGACACCTAGTACTGAGCAAATACAGCCTCCTGCTGAGTCCTCTGAACCTCTTAGTAGGAAAACATAGCCCTGAGTGACTACATGAGTGGACACAACTCTGCATCGCTGAGTAAAAGCCAAGTCGATGTTGAGGACTCCGCCGACAGTGACCATCGGGGGACGGGCGGCTCAGCCTGAGTCATGTTTTCATAGCAATGAGGCCGTTCCCAGACCATGCCGTCTGCTTAGAAGACTCCCAGTTCTGTCCCCACAGCAAAGCATACTGCACGCAGCTCACTCCAAAATCCCTCACATCATAAAACACCCATGGGGGCGGGAGCTGGACTGAGCACAGGCCCTGTGCAGGGGCTGACTCCAGCTTGGTTCTTCTGGCCGCTCCTGCCACAGCCCAGCTCGCTCGGCAAGAGCCTGTGACAAGCGCGGATTAACTCCGGCTCCTGGGGTCGAGCCCATAATTGGTTTCTCTCCACGTAATTAGTTCCTTGCCACTGAGGCAAAGGCCAGCATCAGCCTCAGCTACTGTAATTCCGAAATTGTTCCTGACAAATGCTCGCACAAGTGGTGTGTATAAAAAGGTCAACAGTGCGGGAGGAACTGCTGAACACCCGGGGCTCCTCACACAAAATAGCAGCCTGAGGGGCCCCGGCTGTAGGCAGGAAAAGGGTTTCATTGGAACCTAAGCACACCAGCGGGTCTATCATTTGGAGGAAGAGAGGTGCGGCTTTTATACCACAGGATAAGCTGCCAGGTTCATGCCAAGTGTCCGTATGGGTTGGAGGCAGAAACAGCCGGTGTTGAACACGTGAAGTGTGGCGAGCACAGGCGGGGATGTGCTGTGAACGTGAGCTGCACGTCAGGGTTCAAAGTCAGTGGGAGATGAGAACCAAAACACCTCCTTTATAATTGAACATTGGCTGCATGTTAACATGTGCTAACTGGATATTTTGTGTGAATAGAGTACTTTATCCAACATCTCAGTCCACTCTGTTGCTACAACAAAACACAGGACACTGCATACTTTATAAAGGTTCACTTGACTCTGTTTAGATGTAAAAGTCCTGGATCCATGGTGGGTGGCATCACAGGGTAAGAGGCTGGGGGGGGGGGGGAGGAACCACAGGGCAAGCGAGAAGCCAGAGAGCCAGCCCGCCTCGTGACAGCCTAACCTGGTGGGGCTGTGAGTGCCCGAGAGACGGACACCGAGCCCCTCCAGGGTGGTGGTCCCAGGCACCACCGCTGTCCCTGGTCACCTCTCAGCAGCCGCAGCTCTCACCGGCATTACTCCCTCAGGAACAAGCCTTGCATGGAACCCTTCTGGGGAAGCCACACCGGCAACTCAGTACCCCAGCTAATGCTGCCCAGAATTCTCCTTGTTTGAAGGAGACCCCAAGAGAATTCAGAATCGCCTGACACATTTTGGGTAGGGCCTAAGGTGGGCCTGTGTGCCCTCCTCCTGGCTGGCACAGCCCCAGGAGAGCCTCTCCCTGCACCAGCATGGGCAAGTGTGACCAACAGCACATCAGAAGTGACCATGTGAGCGGTGGTTGATTTTGTATCAACTGCACACGCTGAAGACGGCCAGGACACTGGCAGGCCTCAGCTCCGGGAGAGGAATTCTGGGATCAGCAGGTGAGGAGGGGACAGTGCCCACCCGCTGTGGCCAGCGCTGCACCATCCAGCCCCTGAGGACCAGAGCCACCTCCCTCCCTCTCCCCCTCCTGGAACCTGGAGCCCCACCTTCCCACCCTTGGGCCTAGCTCATGGCCTCCACCTCCGGCGGTGTAGACTCCCACCCGAGCCCCACACAAGCCCATACCCTGCCATCCTCAGACACCGCTGGATCCCAGGCTGGGGCCCCACCTGCCCGCTGGACAGACTGTGGGAGCTTCCGGCTTCTGCCCTCAGGGGACCACTCCCCAATCCAGTCGACAAGCTGCTGCCTCCGGCTGTGTCTCTGGAGGAGGACTCACAGCAGGGCTCTGGGGCCGTTTATGAAGGGCGTAGGTTCATGCGTTCCAGGGATGCAGCAGGTGACCATGAGCCCCCTGGAGAGGTCCTCGGGAGTGGAGGCCGCGCCTGAGCCTCCCTGCACCGACCCTCTGACTCTGCCCCGAATGACCTCCGAGGTGTCCACAGCAGGGTATCCAGCTGCCTGCCCCTGGCCACTGACTGTGACACTGTGTGAAGTACAAACACAGCACAGCACTGGGGCCCGCGCTGGCCTTCTGTGGGGCCTGGTGACCAGGCAGCAGCCAGGAAGCCAGCTCAGGGCAGAGGCCTGACTGCAGAGGGAGCATCAGGTCCTCAAGACATCTGTGTCTGAGTCCGAGGCAGTACTGGCCACAAGAGCAGAAACTGGGAGCCTCCAGAACGTCCATCGGCAATGAGAGGCCAGAAAACCTCAGTATCTCGGCACACAGAAGATCCCTCAGCTGCGTGGTACCCATGCAGCTGGAACCAGAGGTCCTGGTGCAGCACAAAGGAGGCACAGCAGGCAGGCACTGTGGGATCAGCTCCTGGAGGAGTAAACGCCTGCTTCCACACACAGCCATGGGCTGCAGCGACCCCAAGCCAGAGAAGGCGGCGGCCCTGAGGCTGTGCGGCTGCTGCCTGTGGACAGCAGCTGTGCTCTATGTCACCCAGAGAGCCAGCAGGGGTGATGAGTGCTGTGGTCCTTGAGGGGACTCCACACTGTGCAGGGGGCAGGAATCAGCCTTGCCTAAGCCACTGATGCACACAGTGGTCAGTAGCTTCTAGCCCCACAGCCCTGCGGAGGGCAGCGTGGTGGGGACGTCTAGGGGCATCGTCTGACACCTCGCTCCCCCCAGGCTCTGTCCCTCCGAGTGGGCAGCAAGTCACGGGCCACAGCCAGGGGACAGGGCCAGAACTGCCTCTTGGGGAGCCCCACTGCAGGCATGGGGCCCAGGGAGCCTGGGGCACGGAGCAGACACCACTGACACCGGGCCACAGCTCCTCTCCCTGGGAACCGGGCCCCAAGCCCAGCCTCAGAGGCAGTGCTCAGGCCTGGGGCTGTGCCTGAGCCCCTCCCGGGTCCCTTAAGGGTCCCTGAAGTGCTCCTGGGACTTGAGGGGCATGCCGCCAGCCTGGCCAGACCTTCCCGAGCCCTTGCCACTCCACGTGACAGGTTGGGGGGACCCCGTGGCCAGTAGCCACGGCAGCAGAGAGACTGGGCCCTCCAGGGTGTCCCAGGGCTGCCCGCAGGGGTCTGGCCACAGTGGAGGACAACAGAGCCGGGTCTCAGCACCAACCCTGGCTCCACACACAGTAAGAGCACGTCGCCCTACTCCACGCAGCACCACTGTCCATACGCCATGCGCTGTGGCACTGCCTCGGCCACACACTGCCAGGCACCATCTGCCCCAGCTACACGCGTCGCCTGGCACTGAGCCACCCGGGGTGGCCGTCGTCTGTGTTCTCTTGCTTCATTTTGGCTTCCAGCTTCTCCCCTCCCCAGCCTGGTGTCCTGGACATGGAGCCCAGGGCCTTGCTGTTTCCAGCATGCTCCAAACTCCTCCTGCCTCAGCCTCCCACAATGCAGGGACCAGTCATGCGCCAGTCAGCTTGCACACTCTTCATCAGTCTGAGGGTCGCAGGGACAAAGTCCACGTAAACCCACATTGAAGTGCTCCGCCAGGGCTGGCTTAGTTCCCACAGCCCACGGTCAGAGGTGAGGGCGAGAGGGTGGGGAGGCTACTGGCGTTTCCAGGACCCTCGGACGAGCGATTTCCACCCACTAAAGAGCCCTCCATGCCCGTCCTCAGAGACAAACTAACTTCCTGTGGCCATGGGCAGGGTAGGGTGCAGAGACAGCTGAGACTCTGCTCTTCACACGGAGGACAGGAGAGGCTCACAGTGAGCAGTCCAACCTGGCCTCACGCCCCCTGCGATCCACAGCATTTCACCCCTCTTCTTCTGTGCTGGGCCTCGGGCTGGCCAGGGACTGCAGAGGGCAGGCACTTCTCTGGTCTCATTTAGCAGGGTGGACACAGAGTGGGTGCCAGCTGAACGCCGCTGCGTGGACAGAGTGGACAGCTGAACGCTGCTGCGTGGACAGAGGACAGAGTGG